TTGCTCAAAGGTTTTTGTTACTTACATACCAAGCAAACAAAACTCAAACCAAAACAACCATTTTAACTAACTCGGGTACTAAACCAAAATTGGAGAGCAAACTCCATTCCCTTCCCACACTTCAACCGCATCAAACTGATTTTATTCCTGACCTCTTTGTCCACCAGCTTCATAACAAGGGTAATTGGCTGAAGCTTCTCTCCATGTCTCACTCTATTCCTTGCACGCCAAATAGAGTAAATGGCCGCATGGAAAGCGTAGCGAAGACAGAATAGCTTCCTCTTATCAGACATGTTCCTTGAAATCACAAACATCAGCTGATTCCAATCCTCCGTATAAATATTCTCAAATATCACGAGACTCAATGCCATTATTACAGAGCACACAAGAAGTGTCCACTCCATGACACCAAGCAGAGATCCTGTCCATTGTAGCTAATCTGTTCTTCACTGCTAGCCAGACCATGAACGCAAACTTAGGAGTCACCCTTGAGTACCGAACTCCATTAGACCAAACCTGCTTCTCATTACTAACTCTCAAAATATCCCAAGTCTCCCGAGTTGAGAAGCTAGCTTTATAGCCCGACTTTCCTCTCCAAATACCAATATCATTCTTCTCATCAAAAAACAACCTACTAACAGACTCAATCCTCAGAATCAAATCATTCAACACAGCAGAGCGATAAGTTCTCCCACGTCTCAAGATCACTTGTTAGCCGGCATAGAAAAAATAACTCTCTGAATCTCATCCTCAGTTACTTCAGCTTCCAACAACCTACAATCCTCCACAGAGCATCTAAAACTCAGCAAGTCATGTAGCTCTTCAGTAGTTACTTCAGCATAATTCTCAGGAATCTGATTTAAAAACCCTGAGAAAAACCGAACCGCTTCCTCCTTAATATCCTCCTGCTTAGTAACTACTACACCATTACTACACCTTATCTCACTGATAGTATTCTGAGCTTGGCGAGAGCGAATGGCATTATGAAACGCCTTATTATTTTGGTCTCCCACTTCAAGCCAATGCAACTTGGCTCTTTGCTTCAGGAAATTCTCCTCCAAACTAGCAATGTGAAGCCATCTCTCATATGCAATAGCTTCCTCATGAATAGCAGTAGAACTCGGCATGGACAAGGTCAGTTTCTGCTTTTCACAAAGAGTTTCATGTGCTTCCTTAGCTTTTCTCGTAAGATTCCCCAACTTATGTTTACCCAGTTCTCTAATCACAGGCTTTAGATTCTTCAACTTCTTAGAGAATCTAAACAAAGCAGATGTCGAGTGAAACAGACGAGTAGTAGAAGACCAATAATTCTGAACCAAAGGCAGAAAATCATCCAATTTCCCCAAAGCATTCACATATTTAAAAGATCTTCGAATTACCTCCTTAGGATCCATTACTTGAATCTTACATCGGAGATGATCCGAGCAACCTCCAGCTTCAAACGTAGAATAAGCATTAGGAAGATTCTGTAACGCCTTTTCGTTCAAGAGCACTCTGTCTATTTTTTTGCAAATGAGTCATTCTCCCCTTTTGTTACACCATGTGAAAATAGGGCCTTGATAAGCCATGTCAGAAAGATTACAATGCAAAACCATTCTCTGAAAATCTCTCATCCCAATCGGTATCCTTCCAAAGTCCATAAATCCTGAACTTTCATCTCCTGCCAAAATCTCATTAAAGTCTCCAACAATGATCCAGGCTTTATCTTTAAACAAAGCTGAATCATGATGGTTACATAAATCCTCCCACAACTCCTTCCTCTCCTCCACTGTATTGAATGCATAAACACAAGTGAAAAAGAACTCTTCCTGACCCTGCAACGCTACTGAGCACGTGATGAGCTGACCAGTTTTGTGTACAGGAGTCATTCTAATCTCGTCCCTCCAGATCAACCAAATCCTACCTCCATTACTGAACTCATAGTTAGTTATAGAAGTCCAACCTTTAAAAACCCCCTGAATAATACTCTCCGCCTTATTCTCCTTGTCTCTCGTCTCCAAAATACTACCAAAACTCATGTTATTATTACGAACCCACTCTTCAACAATGGAATGTTTTAAATTTTTGTTGAACCCCCGAACATTCCAGTAGAAGCTTGTCATAAAATTAATGGTTTCGACGAGGCCTAACGCTTTTCACAGGATTGACATCCTGAGCTTTAGGCTTTCGTCCTCTTCTCTTCCCAACCTTTGTCTCTTCGTGAACTTGTTGTTCTATGAAACTCTCCTCCAATGAATCATTTCCTAACTCATCCATGTCCTCACTCCCTTCATCTCCTTGTAATTCCTCTTCCTCACCACCTTCCTGACCTTCCACTTTCTCAGTCAACACCAAATTCGCCTCTGATATCTCACCCTCCTCTGCTGCAGTAATACTAAGGACATAAAATCTTGAAGCCGAGACCACAATATCATTCTGCTTAGCATTCAGTAACAGTCTCTCCGCTCTAACTGGCGAGGCCGGAGTCCTCCACACCATTGTACTATTCTCTGAGCTTTCAGCCCTTTCCACCATTCCAGCAATAGACTTCCCCTCCTTACTCTCTTTGAACTTATTAACTAACTCCTCAATATACACCTTCACGTCTTTATCCTTCTCAGCTTTTTGCGGACTAGAGAAAAGTTCCTTAGTCTGCTCATGAGCTGGAGAACGCATCATTTTCTTATTCCTATTACCTTTCCCCTTAGAGCCACATACTTCTTCCTTATGTCCCCACTTTTCACAAATCTTGCATCTCGCCGGTAACCAAGGATAGTAAAAATCAACTGTAAAGCTCTTACCATCTTTTTGGAAGGTGATTTCCTTTGGTAATACTTTAGACACATCAACTTTGACAAAGATTTTCGCCTCCGCAAGGTTCTTGCAAGCAATAGTATCCGGATGAGGTTCAACAGGTACCCCAACTGTGCTAGTGATAAAACTAAGACCTTCCCAAGAGTACATGTGGAGTGGAACCTTTTTCCAAATAAACCCACATAGGTATAACTTCATCCTCTTGCGCCTCTTCCTCAGATTTAGGCTTCCATTTTGAAACAATCATCGGCACCCCAAGAATATTCCACATTCCCCTACGCAAGATCTTCTCTCTAGGCTTCGGACTTGAGACTTTGAATCTCATGGTCACTCCATCCATATCATAAACCTCAATCTTAATAGAAGAATCCCCATATTTCCATATTTTGTTAAGAACCATGTGGATCTTCGCAACATGTGGAGCTAGATCAAGGAACTTACGAACGATGAAATCATCCCAAAGTGGCGTAGCATTCTCAATGATCCCATCTGGTATCTCTAAATATGAATCCCCCCCCCCTCCTTACTCGAAATCTCAACTTCATACTTTCTCAACTTCTTCCTATCCTGCGCCGCGCCGCATCAACCCAACTCTGATCCATTTTTTTTCAAATTCGTGACACCTTCCACTTTCTCACCATCCATCGATTCCTCCTTCTGAATCGAAACCACCCCTGGAGGAACTGTAGAATCCGGCGGAACGGCCAGATTCATCGCAACAAACCCCTCGAAAACTCGTCGGAAATCGCCAAAATAATCGTCTTATGAAACGGTGCGTTTTTCCTTCTATAAATAGGTTACTCTATTAGTTTAATATAATTTTTCATATTTAATTTATATAACAATTCTATTTTAAAATAATATAGACTATAACAAAACTTATGAAAGTAGAATATATATAAATATTTTTTTATAATCAGAAATAATCAAATAACACTTTCTTTAAAATATATCTTGTTTTTAAATATATGGTTATAGAATCAAAAGTTTAACATATGTTAATAACTTTATTTTTGATAAGAATATCACATAGTTAACAAATTTAACCCGTTTTAATTGTAGATAATAATTTATTTAAATGAAATTATTTTTAAAAATAAATTGGCTAATTTAATAATTTAATATTATTTGTCATATTTAATTTATATAATATTTCTATTTAAAATAATATAGACTATAAGAAAATTTATAAAAATATAATATGTTTTTATTTTTGTTTAATATAATACTTAATTAATACTAATCTAAAATAATATAATATAATTAATTAAGAAATTAATTAATGCTTTATTTAAAAAACATAGTTTTAAAGTCTAGTAGAATTTTGTTAGATTCTTTCTAAACAGATTTTGCTATAAAAAAATAGAATTCAAATTTATGGTTAAAATGATTTATTATTAATATTTTTATTGAATATAATGTTATATAATGTAACTAATGAAATATACCTACTATGATTTTTGTAAGGTAGATAAAAACAATGACTCTATTTTAATAGAGTAGATTATGATTAAAAAAACCAGCCATCTTTGAGCTTCAAAGACGTGGGGAAGTGACAGGACAGGTCTTTCTGGCCGAAATGTACCAACCAGATGACGAAACCAAGTGAAATTTTACCGCAACAGAAAGTGCACATGTGTCTCTTTTGTTCTTGAATTCAGACAAGATATCTTTGCTTAACAAGCTTGTCGGAAATTGGCTAGTGTTGCAGCCAAAAATGATGCTTGTGGCTATTCCAGAAAGCTTCAATTAATGTTGAAACTATTGAAGTTCCTATTCACTGCAGGCTGCAGTTAACTACTGAGCAAAATACCAATATCAATACCTTACAAAATTCATAAAGAAACCTATTCACTAAGCAATTCTTCTTAAGGACGCCAAAGGAAATAGAAAACATTTATTTGGCATAAAGAAGTTCCTCGTAAGCAGGAGTTGACAACGGAATCAGCTGGAAACTCATCTGGATCAGGGTTAGTACAGTAACGATCCAAATTCAGCTCAACCACAAAATCTAACCCTTGAATAGATCCACTGATATAAGTCTGTTTAGATTCAAATACCAAAATGAGAAGGTACAAACTAAAGGAAGGCATATGAATCTTTCCTTGAGAGATATACACAGTTCTGCAGGTCCAGCAAATCAAACAGAAGCAGAAAAGAAATCATCTTTCTGGAACATATCTACAAACCTTGAGAGGCCCTATGTTCTTCATTTTGTTCCACTAGAAAGGCCCCAAGTACAGAGATTTAGCAACCAGCAAGAAACATGAAACCAGGTACAGAGTACCTCAAAAATGTATGGTATAACAGACACATCAATCAAACAAAACAAAGCAAGAATCACTATAAAGTGATCATAGAACTTCGTTTGCGGAAACACACTAATTTTTCTTCATTGAAATCAATTACACAAACCTAGCATAGTTTCAACAATTCCTTTTCCATGTTTCATCATAATAAACAAAGAACAAATCTTGTCCCTATCTAATTGCTAATGAAAAAGGAGTATAACATATCATCCTTGTGTGCCCTAAGAAGACTCATTTCTTGGCCTTGGAGAATCGAAGACACCGATATTTCTCACCACTGACAGTAATCTCGAGAGCACCGTCTTGATTATCCTGATTCGACGCGGTCCCCATGAGAACGCTCTTCTCCTTCTCCAGATTCTCCCTCTCCATCTTCAACCTGGCTTCCTGCCTAGCAATCTCCGTCTGCACATCATAAAATCAGCATCAGTTTCTCGAAACCCTAACGATTCAATTCGAGAACTTGTACCTCGCGGCGAGAGAGCTCGGCTTTCCAGGCGGCTTCTCGCTCAGCGACTTCGCGCTCTCGCTCCTCGATATAGCTCTGCATCTCCCTCTCCTTCATGATCCGATCTTGAATATCAGCGTCAAGAGCTTGCTTGAGCTCCTCCACAAACTTATCCACCACTAGTTTTATCCTCAGAGACATCCTTAACCGCTTCTACACATCAGTAAACAATCACTTCCTTTCTTAAACCGACTAACGATTTTCTGTTTTCTACTTACGGCGGCGGCGAGAATATTCCTGATTCCGATCCTTTAGCGTGGAGGTTGCGTGAGACCTGAAGAGGGACACGGACATTCACGACTAGGGCTGGGAAAAAAACCAAACCCGAAAATCCAACCCGACCCAATAAAAAGGATATCAGAACTGATCCGAGCCCGACATTATTACCGAATGGATTTTGTTTACAGTATTTTAGTTTACGAATTTCACCCAAACTGAGCTCATACTTAAATGGATATACGAAAGAATCCAAAACTTTAAATTTTCAAAAAGACTTGTACCATATCTAATCTAAATTTCTAATATGTTTCCAATACACATTAATGTATTATTGAGTACCAACAATAATTAGTTATTATATGAATAATTAACTCAAATATTTAGTTTAATATATAGTGTTGTTTGGTTAATATTAATGTTTATGATTGACATTACATTTGAACTTAAGTTACGAATGAATTTGTTTGAAGTTTAGATAATGTTGTTTTTTAGAAAAGTTTAAATATTATTTCTTACGTTTATAGAATTGTTAGTTGTTAACTTTATTTTTTTATGATTCATTGCGTATGATTTTCATTCATACAAGGCTTTGGTTTGTCATTAATTATGATATATTTAGTGTTGTCACATATAGTTCAATAACAAATCTTATATGGTTGATATGCGAGTTTCACAATATTATTTTGAATGAGAACAATATGGTTTGTAGAAGCTAAATACACAAATTTAATAAAACAATTAAAAATATAGGTGAATATAAATTGATATTTTTAGAATTGATAACCAGATTAGTATCTGAAATTATTTCGGATTCAACCGGATCTTAGCAATGTTACTAAACCTGAACCGAACCGACTAAATTCGAACCAAATTTTTATAATATCTTAATAAAACTGAAATTCATAAATCCGAGAACTCGAAACCCGAATTAATTCGAGGAACTAAAACCCGAATGGAACTTGTCAGCCCTATTCACGACCTTTTGCTTCATTTCCCCTAGTTCTAATCTTCTACGAGAGGGAAAATAGGATTCATGGAAAATTAATGTGCTCTATGATTAGGCTTATAGTGGGCCTGTATAACTTCTCAAACGCATGGTTAGTTTTTCTTTTTAAAATTTTGTTCGTCAGCTACTCATATTGTTTGGTCAATACTAGTTGGACGAGAAGTTGTTCCAATGACTACTTTGCAAGTTAAGAGAAAGAAAAGCAAATGACTGGAGTGGGAGAGTTTACTCTGTGACGAATGTCAACGAACCGAGTCCAGTCCAGCCATGTCTGGTTTAAATGCCTCTAAATTTAGTGTTCTTTACTAACAAATCCCTATGGAAAATTTTGCTCCTAGCGATATCAAATAGACACACACTTTCGAAATTATCTTGCAAAACACACAAATTCCTAAATTTTCCAATTTCTGAAGTAAAAGTTGGCCAATCACCTAGTTCATAGCCATATCCAATAGATTTGAATAGTACATCTCAAAATGGATCAAAGGGACTTGCATATGTCTTAAACACGATGATGCCCAAAGAAAACCTTCCAACTATCTAAAACTACGAAACATATGTATCGCTGTTAGTTTTCTAAATTAATATTCTTTGGTCGATTTAGTACTCTGTATATATATTGTTTGTTGATCAGTCTCTATGTTGTTGTGGTTTGTGAAGGTTCATCTAGAGCTAGGGAATCAGTTCAACTTCCAGAAGTATATTAGGAGATGATATCAAGCTGGTCGTCGGTGTCAGGTAACTAGACTTCTCTTACAACAATTAAGCCAAGTAGAATATATTCTTCTTCTTATTGTGTAGTAGAATATATTCTTCTTCTTACAACCTAGTCTTCTGTGAAGATGTAATGCTGACTGGTTTGAGAAAGTACTGAAACATGTCTTGAAGATGTAGCATACGTCTGTAGTGTTTCATGTGCTTATCCCAAAGTAGTACAGGAAGTGGTACAAGAAGTCATTTAAGAAGCTAAGCTGTGAGGCGACTGCGGAAATATATAAGTGGACAACATGAATTCGACTTATACAAGGTAGGATGGCTGCTGAATTAAGTAAACATCTTAAATAGTATATTTAAGATGATGAAAAACTTCCTTATTCTTAAGAGAAGAAAAATGAAAGATTGTGTGGAAACCCTAAGTTTAGGGTTTAGCAATCAGATAAATACCACGAGGCCGTCAAAGAAAAAAAGCACGCGCCCAGGGTATTCTTGAGAGAGGCACACAGGTGTGTGGCGTCGTCCCACCAGACAGATGGTGAGATCTGTTGGTGGTTTAGCTGTATAGAACTATGCTCTTCATAAAATCAATGAGTAGTAGTTGCTCTAACCATTAAGAGTGGTAGGTACAAGTGTGTGCTAGATACCAATTGTAGGTTGCGGCCTTTCTAGTGAATGGTTTCTAGACGTGGTTCCGGGGATGTAGGAAACGAACCTCGTTAACAAATCTCTATGTGTTCTTTACTTTATGCTCATACATATTCTATATGCACTTGAACACATAGTACTAGACACAATATGCATTAACAATTGATATCAGAGCGGGTTCTCGATAGAGACTCGTCTTATTTCGGGTGTGATCCTGGATTTGTGGTTAGTAGAGGCTATTGGAATTAGAAGAAGGTTTCATGGTGCATAAGGAGAGATGTCTATTACTCAGAGCAGCTGAAGCTGAAAATATGTTGATCGCATGTTCATCATCAGCAAGTATGAGTTTTCAAGTTGCAGGAAGTCGATGAAATCTCCGAAGGGTGTTGTGTCGCAGTCTAAGAAGATTTTTTAAGGTTGGAGTTTCTAAAAGTCTGGATCATTTATTGGCTTCTATGGGTCTGAAGGAACAAGTAAAAAAAACAGAGAGAAAAAGGCTGAGAATCCACTTTGTCGACTCGGTCTTGGTTGGTGTCACGATTTATAAACTCAAGGGCATAAGGTACATTTGTTACATATTTGAATCAGAAGTGAAGATGGTGGCTTGCGGGTCAAGTTTTAAGGATAAACTTATTCGACTGATCCATGAGATGCCATAAATTATCAAAAGCTTGAGGGGAAGTCATGTGATTGTAACAAGAGAGTCTACAGTTCATGTTTTTTTGGAGTTAAGAAGTGAAGACATTGAAGACCTCAGCTTTCAACAATTTCAAGCCAATTACTAAGGCATGATCTAAGTTGCAAAGTTCAACCACAAAGATTGACTTCTCAGACATAAACCAATGGGAAGAGGATAAAATTTTAAAAATCAGTGGGTGTGACGTAAAGATCATGATCTTCCCTAACGACTAAAAAGTATGTAAGCAGTGTCTTAAAGATCACAGGGGATGCAACAGTTGATTGAAGTCGCAGTGATGTCTTGCTCGTGTATCTGCTTGAACTTTAGTCATCACATAAGAAACATAGACTATTACAACTTATTGAGAAGCTTACTGAGAAAAAGGCTTCCGGTCCTAATCTTTTAGAGATTTGCCTTAGCTCAAGAGATTCTTCTGGAAAATTCTTATTATGTTTTCAATGGAGCTTGTGGCTAAAGATTAAGAGTTGCTGTAATTTTTGATGGAATGGCTAGGCTTCAAGTGAATATTGGAAGTTCTTTTTTACCTTGGAGAACTATAAAGGATTCTTGAAAACCGTAGCAACCTTGAGATTCTGACATAAGAGCACCTCCATTTGTTAGAGTCCTTAGTGGGTTCTTAAAATTAATTTAATTGCTAGTCGTGTATTTTAAAAATTTTAGAATCTCTAATATTGTAACTAGTTTTGAGAATGTCCATTGGGAGAACTCCTATGAAGTTCTTAATTTCTTTTTTTTCTTTAGAAATTAAATTATTAAAATTAAATATTACAAAACTTATAAATTATTAGATTTAATAAAATTTAAACAACAGTGACATAAAAACATATTAAAAATAGAAATACAAATTTATAATTAGAAATTTTAAACAAACATGAAAGAGATGCATAAACGAGAAAAATCGATTAATTGTATTCTTGATTTGTACCAAATTTTTGAAAACTGATTTGGTTGAGAATATATGGCTAAAATTTGGCTTTATATTGTTTATTGTTGGTGCTAAGTCATTATATCGATTAATTGTATTCTTGTTTGTACCAAATTTTTGCCATATATTCTCAAGCAAATCAGTTTTCAATTGTTGATATCAATACTATTAAAAGAGAAGGAGTTTTAATAAATCTACCTATGAAAGTTTTTTGGACCTTTTCATTTAATTTATTATTTTTTGGTCTTACCTTAAATTTAGACCAACATTATGTTACCATATATTTCTCTTAACAATAATTTAGTCAATACTTATATTTACTAGACCCACCTTTTTTGTCCTCTTTTTGTATATGTTAATATTATAGCTTACTAGGGTTGGCCCGGGCTATGCCCGGGTTTTTTGTTTAAATTTTAATTTGGATTATATATTTTGTATTTTTATTTTAATATATAATTTAGAATCTATTAACAAAATATAAGTAGCTATAGACAAATATAAAATATTTTTAAATCATTCATTCACAATTCAAAAATTTCAATATCTAATTTTTTGTTATTGGAAATTATATATAGGGTGAAGAGAAGAATGAACAAAGAATAATTAAATTCTATATTTAATTTGTTGAATTGTAGACATGTTTAATTTCTCTTAAAACTATTTACAATGTTTATTTCCAATTAGTCTCGAAATAGTTTAATGGACTCTTCTCTCTTAAATGATTCTCCTTTTATCGAGGAGACCTTTGTAAGTTAGAAACTTTTAAAATAAACTGAAAAAGAGAATAATAGATTAATATAGCATTTACAAATATAAATAGAATAATCCATAAGGGATTCAGAGAACTAAAATGAATATTTTTTGGACTTGTTGAACACTCAGAGCATGTTTAAGACCATGTTTAACTCTAGTCGTTTTTAACTTTGGTTAAGAGACGATTTATAACCTTTCTTAGATTTGACAAAAAAAAATTAAAAACCGTCTCTTAAATAAGAGATATAAAAACTCCATTAAAAATTAAGACATAATTTTTTATATTCCCGTTAAAAACCTGTCATAAAAACTCCCCATTCAACGAAGAAGAGCAGGAAATGCGACTGTTAGATGTCGGCTTGATAGGACTGTGGGTAATGAGAACTGGCATGAGAAATTTCCTCATTCTAAAGTTCAGTATCTGAGGCTTTGGGGTTTGGATCATCGTCCATTCCTGGCAGACATTCTTAAAAAGAAGCCACGAAGATCGAAAAAATTTAAATTTGATAAACGATGGCTTCAGAATGAGGAACTCAGACAGATTATACTTGAAGGATGGAAATCACCAGATTTACCA